TTTAGTACAGTTCATTCCTACTTTTTAGGAGCATAACATTTAAAAAAATTGTTGATAATATAAATTTATTATTTATACAATTGAATTTGTAGTATCATATTAATTTTAATATTTTATTTTACTAAATTGTTATTTAATATACTGCATTGTAACATATTAGTATTTTAATATAAATAATTAAATTACTACAGAGCATTTAATTGGACACCTCCTAAGTATGGACATTTACCTTTAATATTAAATGCAAATGGAACAAAATTATCGAAGAGACAAAATGATATAAATATTGAATTTTTACGGAGACAAGGAATTTTTCCATTGGCAGTTCTAAATTATGTTATACATGCTGGTGGTGGCTTCAATAACAAAGGGGGTGTCGAATACATCCACAGCTATGAGGAGTTAATTAAACAAGTGAATATTATTATTTAAAAATTTCATAATAGTACACATATAAATTATGTAACTTTATTTACCTTCATTATTTTGTCATTCTATAGTAAACTTTAACACTTTTTTTAGTTTAATATTTCTGCTATAAAAGTGAACTCCAATAAACTGTTATCCGAAAAACTGTTACAATTTAATAAGCTAGAAATTACTAAATTATTGGCGAATGAAAAAAATAATAAATTCTTGATTGAAAGAATTAAAGAATTAGTTATAGATGCATTTCCAGAAAGGTTTGTATATCTTTTTTATAAATATTCATTTTTATCACTGAGAGTTATTATACAGCCTTAATATTATTTTAGACATGCAGATGGAACTTTACAATTAGATGATCATCATATACTTGCAATATTGAAATGGGCACAGAGTAGAATATATAAATTAAGTGATCTGGTGTCTAAAGAATTAGCATTTTTATGGATGATACCATCAGTGGCACCCGATATTATAGAATCGGAATGTTTAGGTATATATTACATTTAATAAATATTTTTAAATAATTAAAATGATTCTTTTTTATATAGATGTGCTTAAAATATTAAACATGAAATTACTTGAAACTGATATTCATAATTTTAATAAGACATGGATCAATACTTATCTTAAAGAATTTGCTAATGAGCATGAAATTCCTTTTCCAACGCTGATGAAAGTATTACGTGGGATTCTTAGTGGTTTAAAGGTAATTTAAGATTCATTTTTTAATAGCCTTAAATTAGTTCATCTAACATGTGTTATAATATTTTTAGGATGGTCCACCTGTAGGTGAAATGATAGAAATTTTAGGAAAAGACACTACATTATTAAGGATAAATCGTTGCATTTCTTAAAGCTAATTCTGTGATTGAATACATCTGTAAGTTTCTAACTGATATCAAATTTTATAAATAATTATATTAAATATCTATTTATTAAATAATATATTTCAATTTTGAACTTATGATTATTTATTATTTCCAATATTATTAAAATGAACATATAGTATTTAATGGAGCATGTATACCTTTTATACGAATTTATAGCTATTAAACAGACATAAATTTTATTCTTTTATGTGAGACTACTAAGTTAGTTCATCTTGTACACATTCTATATGTAGAACACATCTTACAGTAAATCATATAAAAAGTATCTAATTTACCAGGTGTGTATAAATATCTCGATGCTACCATATCTATAGATATACAAAGCATTAGGAATCATTCTAATTGCCCAGAAAAAATTGGAAAAAGGTTGGAGAATTATGAGGATTTAGCAATTACTGTTGGCATATTTTTTCATTACAGCATTTTTCCTATGTTCCATAATCTCTAATGCTTGGTAAACCTATAATTTGATACTGTATGTGAATTTTTGGTTATATAAAGATATTTGCATAATACGCAATGCATATCTGTGAAATAATATAATAAATTTCGTAATGTAGTAATGAATTATAATTAAGGGAATTCATATGTACTTATGTCATTTTACTCCTTCATTGCTTGGGATAGCTTAATGTATTACTTATATAGCTTTTTTACCATTACTATTACAAATAAAATACAAATAAATAAATTTTATAACAGTAATTGTAATATATTGTAACTATTTATATTAGCTATCACACTGAAGTAATCAATATTTTCTAATATGTCTCTTTAGATTTAAACAAAATTAGACAA